TAGTTAAAACAGATGTTGTCAAAGTTTTCCTTTGGGGACATAATTTGAAGTTGGAAAAAGGTAATAAATTGCAATATATCGCAGAATATCGCAATATATTTAACATCGCAATAATATTGTACCGTGACACAAGTATCGTGATAATATCGTATCGTGAGGCCTCTGGTGATTCCCACCCCTAATGTTTACATGTGAATTAAAAGCTCAATTAAATCTGTTCATCATATAAAACGATCATGTCTCTTTGGTGGACTTTTTTTGGATTTATATGGATATTTATATGTCTTTTTGAAGTGTCAATGTTGTGGTTGCGTCGACTTTCAAGGGAGGGACAGAAACCTCTCCGATTTTTGTTTTGAGAATGAAAGAGACTTACGGGTTTGGAATGGCATGAGGATGAGTAATTTAATTTTTAATTTTGGAAGAACAATCCCTTTAAGTAACGCTGCCACACAACTATATTTCATCAGCATTAAGAGAATGACAACAGGAAGCACAGCTGACGTATTCTGTAAAATTGGCCATGGAAACGGAAAGTAAGTCTATACAGATGAAGAACATTCAGAATATACATATGACTACAGAAGAGAGGGCTATGGTACTCACACATTGCCAAAGGTGAATGCCAAAGTATCGATCGATGTGTGTATCTCGCCAAATATTGTGTCTTTGTTTTCTTTATTGACTTCTTTGACGTTCACGCCTGTGGGAAGTGATAAACCACATGAGAAGTGTAGCCAAATGGCACAAAAGTCTGCAGCAAAATTACAATTCTTAATATGATGATGATGATCAGCAGTAGTGGCGTTTGTGGAAATATGAATCCCTCAACAGTGGACCACCACAGGTATTGAGGACTGATAAGTAACTACAACACCCTCTGATAATACAGAATTCATTCATTCCACATGAGAGTAATTTAAGTACGCTGTAAAGTCAGACTCGTTCTGAACAATGAACAAGAAAAGGAACCTCGACAGGTTCTTCCTTAATTAGTGTCTGATGCTGCTTTGTTATCAGGTCGTGCTTCCCTGGAGTACAAAACAAATGCTGTAAATAAATCAACAGACGCCTTTCTTCATAAACTAATTTCATTGTTTCAAAAAGAGGCCAGATGACCCAGCATGTTGATGCAAAGTTTGTTATGTTTTGAGCTGATAGAAGAGAAATTAACATCCTACTGATGTTAAATCTTAATTTTAAAAATCAGATATGTGACAGACAACAAGTAAAGACTCTGAAAGGCTACGAAACTTGCATTTACCAAGAACTTCCTGTCTGCTAGCTGAGCCTCCCCCCTTTACAGGAAACACGGACAAAGCCTGAACTCTCAAAACATTCAGAGGACGTTCAAACAACTTTCGCCCAACTTACCAACTCCTTCAACTTGCACTTGCAGTCATATCCAGGTTCGTTATGGTAAAGCATAGATTAAAGACAGGCAAAACTCGCCCAGAACTTCAGGAACTAATGCCACAGCCTAGTTCACAATGATTCAATGGAGCTTGACTTCCACTTTTTCTTCTCACATACAAGAAAAAGTGACGAGGCCATAAAAAAAGCAACATCATCTGTAGTTTCCAGTTCCGCATGGGCGATTTTTTTGGTTGGATGTCACACAAAACGCAGCGACTGTCCGCGTAATGGGGATCCCCACCCTCAATTGCCACTCATACTCAGCTACGAAGTGAGCAGAGGAAACGGCACTGGAGACGAGAGCGTGAGAGGTGCGTGGCTCCTGGTGCATGCCTCTGCTTCTGAATGCAGGCGGGCGGCTCAGTGGCCCCTGCAATGGAACGCTGACTTCTTCCTCAGGACATCCTGCAGTTCCACAACAATGCGTCCACTTCTGCCCCTTTCACAGCTCAAATACGGGAATGGCTACATTCAGAAAGCAGTTCTCTCATAGAAAAACCCTCAAAAGCATTTTCTGCATCATTGGAATTTTTTTTTTTTAAATGTCAATATTAACTGTTTTTCTGAAAATACCCAAGAATGATTCTTACCATATACTGGCAAAGTAACACATGCAGGTATCACTTGATCAGGTGCAATGCGTCATAAGATGGGATAAAATACCTGAGATAACAGAGTCTCCTCCAGATCAGAAGCAAAGATAAAAATACAGCAAGTCAGATGCCACTGACTCACTCTAGACAAGGGCGGGGGAAGAAAGAATTTCAATAACTTGAGACACTTGACACTTTTATTGCTGCGCCCCTGAGAGATTCTTCAGCAAAACTATGCAGCATTTTTAAAAAACTGTATGGACTGAGCGTGAATGGGGGGAAATATGTGCATCTGATTTCCTGAAGTTCATAACATTCCATCAGGAGAAAGACCGACGGCTGATATGGACGTGGAGTGTTAAAATGCAAGCGTGAGTGGGAAGCACATGCTGGAATGTCGGTCTTACAGGTAACTTGAGGCAGGTATCTGAGGCGACTGGCCTTTCTTCTCAACTTCCCCATTAAAAAAAAAAAAAAAAAAGGCGAAGGCCTGAAGCAAATGTCAGAAAAAGACAATCAGATTATTTTCCTCTGTTAAAGACTTCCCTTTGACAGAACCAATGAAGAGTCTGGCCCTTTAAAGGACACATGGGAGCTCAGAAGGGTCACTGGCCCTCTAGTGGCAAAGGATGATACTCTAGTGGCCACTTAAATCAATGCTGCCAAAATGAAAACACAATGTTGTAAACAGCTGGAAATTATGTGGATAACCAATAAGAAACACATTCACTCTGTCCGTACAGCACAGAAATCATCTGCTCCCTCTTTCGTAGCCGCAATCTGGATTGCAAACTGCACTAATGTACCACATGGACATTCCTGTGCGCTAGCCAGAAGAATTACCCTGTTATTTTAGACTAGGAAAATCAATATCATGCTATGAAACTTTAGAGTATATTTCACAATGCACTTTGCTTTATATATTACATAACCATGCAGTAATGTCTTTCTATTGATAATCCAGGTTTTCCTTCGTTCTTGAAGTTGATAGATGCAAAACATAAGATTAGATTATTCATAACACATGAATAAGAAGTCTGCCATCAATACAAAAACACGACTTCACATTATATAACATTTGAGTTAAAAATGAGTTAAAACAGTGATGCCATTTGTCCACCAAAACCATTGTATTGATGCATTAAGCCTCATTAAGCATTATCTCCTTTTTAAATGATTAATGCAACATGCAAAGTTTTTCTTATTTTTAGAGGTGATCTAAATATCTGTGGCTTGAAACAGATGAAACAAGTCTGTTTTACAGTTCTATGAATGTTCTGCCTTTTAGCACTCCACACCATGTAACTGAAAACTATTAATACATACACAAACAATGGGTTTTTTCTTTAAAAGACAAGATCAATTCTAATTTGTTGATTCTAAAGTGGGGTGGAGCTGAAGGAGGATGCTCACCTTTGACTTTGGCGATGACGGTGCCTGCAGCACCAAGAATTTCTGACGAATTCAGTGCCTGGTGTTTGCCAATGACGGTCTTTAGCACGCGTACCAGCTCTCCAAGTCGCTCGCTGACCACGTGCTGCGAGCACTCTTGGTTTTCTGTGAGTGACAGACATACAGACAGAGACCACAATGTCATCAGCTCAACTTCCTCCACGCGTTTTTGAAGATGCACACATTTAAAACAATATGGGTGCAGCAGCAACATCGAAAGGTTTGAAATTTTGAGTCTGTTTAAAGATACCCGTGTGAAACCTCCTCAAAGTGCACATGAACTGGTGCATCCTAACAGCACGCTTGTTCTGTGACGGTGCAAGCCCCTGTGGTTAGAGACGACGAGCTGAGTATGAGGCTGCGCTTTAGCTGAGATGCAGACGCAGCCCTGTGCACTCGAGAGATGGCCGACAGCAAGATAAGAAAAGAGACAAACATGACAACAGCTATGCACGCCTATCCAGACGTGTGATAACAGAATTTTTGTTTTGTTTTTTGTATGAGAGTGACTGAGAGTGAGGTACTTCATTACTGCTGACTGCACTGCATTACTGCTGTCATGGGAATTAAAGAGTTTTGATTTGCTTCTTTCCTGTTTTTGCATTAAAGGTGCAGTAGGAGATCTTGGAAAATGCTAACTTTAGCCTGATAGCACTGAAAGCGAACGTCCCACCCTCCCTGCAATTTTTTGTACATTTTTTAAATAAAAGATCAATAGGATAACAATGCATATTTATTTTCACAGACTTTTTTGATCATATTTACCAAGGGTACCAACAATTCTGACTAGGGGTCGACCGATATGTGTTTTTCAAGGCCGATGCCGATACCGATTATTACAGATAGAGGGTTGCAGAGGTATGCTAATTAGGGCTGGGTAAAAAAATATTGATATCTCGATTTTAAACGATTCTCCCTTTCTTACGAAACGATATCGATTCTTAAATCCCAAGAATCGATTAGTCTAGCCTGTTTTCAGTCAATGGATGTAATATTGAAGCGCACCTCCCATCCAATAAATCGCAATAAGCATTGTGCGTTGGTACTTTTAA